CACGGCATCGAGGAAGTGTCAGCAGCATGGTGGGGTCTGGCTGGAGGCGGCCTGTCACTGGGGATGATGGGCTTTGTGAGGTTAGAGCTTTGTCTCACTTCTTGCTCTCTCTCTCTGCTTTTTGTGTAAGAATTGAGATGAGATCAGCCAGCTCCCAGTCCCACTGCCGCGCGGTACCTTTCCTGCTGTGAGAATTCTATCCCTCTGGAACTGTACTAGACAAAGCCTTTCATTCTTGGTCTAACAAGATGGCTCAGTGAGTACAGGTGCTTGCTGCTAAGCCTAATGACCTGAGTTCGAGTCCCAGGGCTGACATGGTTGAAGGCAAGAACTGACACCTGCAAGTTGTCCTCCGACCTCCACATGCGCACTATGGCATGTGTGTGACCTCCTTCCCCAAATAAACAAATGATAATAAAACATTGAAGGCTTTCTTCCTTAAGTTGCTTTTGGTCATGGCGATTTTTTTCGTAACACCAGAAAAGTAACTAAGACAGATACCTCTAGAGTCCTAATTCATAATTGCTTGGGATCTTGAAAGTTACAAAAATGCTCTCCAATTGGTGAACAGATGAACTGCAGCACGTTCAGGAAAAGAAACGAGTTCTCAAGTCACAGGAAGACAACGAGAGATCTTAATGCACGTTACTGAGTGAAATAAATCACTCTGCAAAGGCTGCAGACTTTATGGTGCTAGTGGTAGGACAGTCCAGGAAAGGCCCAGTGGTGCCGGGACCTTGGGAAGAAGGAAGGAGGATGAGCAGAGGGGACCTGGGCTTTCGGAGCAGCGTGACTCTTTGGTATGATTCCATAGCGAGAGATCTGTTGTGATACGTGTGTGCAGACTCCTGAGGTACTACTCATGCTGTGAAGCCTCATGTCAGCAACACACCCCGTGTCAGAGGTACATGTGAGTGGGGATTTGACAGTTGTTACAAAGGCGCTTTCCCACTCAGGTGGGCGTGTTGATGGTGTGTGAATTGTCTAAGTGTGAGGGCACAGACATAGGGAAGTCCCCGTGCCTTCCCGTCACCTTTGCCATGAATCAGAAACTGTTCTGAAATAGTCTTTAATCAAACTAAAAGAGCATTTATTTCTGTGTCTCAAAGTACTCGGCCCTCATCCTACTTGATGGAGTCTTTATCTTGCTTATAGCCATTTTATTTAAAAATGCACATCTTAATAAATAATGGCAAAAATCCCACTGTCACTGGATTTACTTCTAGTAAGGAAAGAAAAACAAACAAGCAAGAACAAACAAAAACCCAAATGAAAAGTAAGTAAAATAATAGCTCCATTTTAGCCAAGAATGTAGAAGTGGAAGTTTAGACCTTCTGAATCATGCTTTAAGGGCTACATGGAAATATATGGTCAATTTTATTTAAAAAAAAAAGTGTGTGTGTGGGGGGGGGGGGGGGAAGCTGTCAAGAGGCTCAGTGTCCAAACCTGACAACCCGAGTTCAATTCCCCCTGAAACATGAATACTGAAATTGACACCTGCAAGTTGTCCTCTGACTTACACACACACACACACACACACACACACACACACACACACACACTGCATGTAAACAACTCCAAAACAAACAAACAAAAAGCAACCCCCCCCCCCCAAAAAAGACCATAAAAACATTGAATGTTATCCTGCTTGATTTCTGGAAGTTTATTTCAAGTGATATAAACTTTTGAAAGCTGCTTCTGATTTTGTAGATTGTCTGGTGCTGTGTGTTCTGATGCTAATTACTGGCCCCCAATATCTTGTTGCTGCCCAGAGAAGCACATTCTCACGTATGCCTGCTCTTGTCCTGTAAACCTTGCCTAAGAAATTATTCCTGATTGGTTAATAATAAAATGCCCACACACCTGGGCCGGGCGAAGGAGGTAGGTGTGGCTAAGGTTCAAGGGTTTGGGGAATAGAGGGATCACGAGAGAGGGAGAGAGGTATCAGAGGAGGAGGGAAAGGGGTGGGGGAGATGGGTTAGCATGGAGGAGCACACGGCCAATTGGCCTGGATGGAGGAAACTGGCCCAGATAGAGAACATTAGCAAGTATTTGGGAGGTAGTCCAAACAGAAATTATTAAAGCAGATGGTGTGGGATGTGGGCTTGGCAGGTAAAGATAGCTCAGGAGGGAATATCTGCCCTGCCCAAGGCGAAATAAGGCCATTCTAAAATCTATCAGGTGTCTGTGTCTTTACTGATTGTGATAGCAGGTTAGACGATACCATCGTGATAATTACAGGGTTAATGATAAACATTATTAGACCTTACCATTAAATTAACAGCAACCATCGATAAAGAACACTTACTTATAAAGCCTACGATAAACTACATATTTTCGAACGATCTGTACTGGTTAGACATTTGTCAATTGGGCACAAACTAGAGTCAGTAGGACAGAGGGAACCTTAATTGAGGGTTTGCCTCTATCAGATTTCCTGTAGGCATTTTCTTGATTAATGGCTGATATGAGAGGGCTCAGCCCACTGTGGGCACTGCCACCACTGGGCTGCTTAAAAAAACCACTGGGTTATATAAAAAAGCATTCTGAGAAAGCCATAGAAAGCAAGCCAATAAACAGTGTTTTCCATGACCCCTGCTTCAATTCCTGTCTCCAGATTTCTGCCTTGAGTTTCTGCCTTGACTTTTGTCAGTGATGAACTATGACCCGGAAGTGTAAGCCAAATACTCTTTCCTTCTCAAGTTACATTTGGTCATGTGTTCACTGCAGCAATAGAAAGCAAACTAGGACTCAGGGTGTGGGTGTAGGAACACACACCCTGTTTTTAGATCACATTGATTTGGGTTTCCTTGGCTCAAACATTGTCATATATTTGGCAGGTGCATTTATTGTTAAAGTGCAATCATTAACATTCTATTTCCTTTACTAAATAGCTTGTGTTTTTAGATCAGTGGTTCTTGATCTGTGGGTCCTGACTCCTTTGGGATCAAACAACCCCTTCACAGGGGTCACCTAAGACCATTGGAAAACATAGGTATTTACATTACAATTCATAACAGCAGCAAAATTACAGTTACGTAGTAGCAACGATAATAATTGTATGGCTGGGGTCACCACAGCATGAGGAGCTGTATTAAAGGTCACAGCATTAAGAAGGTTGAGAACCCTGCCTTAGATTTGATTTGGAGCTGGGCGGTGGTGGACGCACACCTTTAATTTCAGCACTTGGTAGGCAGAGGCAGGCAGATCTCTGCGCTCAAGACCAGCCTGGTCTGCAGAGTGAGTTCCAGAACAGCCAGACTGCACAGAGAAACCCTGTCTTGAAAAACATAAACAAACAAACAAATTTGATTTGGCTTTAAAGTCAAGTTAAAATCAACCTTGGTTCTGCTTTGGTTTCCTAAACCTGGCACGTTCTTTTCTTCAGTATTTTAGTCTGTTCTTATTGTAAGTGCCTGACCAGGTCACAGACTCAGGTGTCTTGTATCTCTTGCAGCCTAGGCCCTGTGACCCCAGCACATCTAGCCTCTGTGCCACCGAGAAAGATATCATCATCTGTAGAGTTCTTACTGTGAACCAAGCAGTAGAGTTTATTTTGTATTGTTGGGTTTTGTTGTTGTTGTTGTTCGTTTGTTTGTTTAATCTCAATGTTTCAAGTAGTTTTACAATTTTGTGCTGGCTGTGTTTGTAGCCATCCTGGGGTGGAACAGGAAGGGTCCAGGAAAGAGCCATGACCTCAGAGCAATGGCTGCAGCTAAGTCTATCTGACCACTCAATGAAAAGACAGCCAGAGAGTTAAAACTCCAGATTCCCAGTTCTTGGGCTTTCGTGGCTGAGACTATATGAACAAACGGAGCTTATTCCCTGGAAGCCCAAAGCCCCCCAGGTACTGCTTAGGAGCCTTCCTTCAGGAGCCAATGAGAGGTCTCACAGCCCACCTTGGGCATGGGGAGGGCAGTGCTCTGTTGCAGCTAAGAAGTGGACCGGTCTCTGCCTGCTCCGGCACAACAATGCGCTGCTGGCATTCACACAAACAAGTAAATGCTGTGCTGTGTGTATCCCTAGTCTCTATTTTAATGTCTCCAACAATCTACTGGTTAATTAGCAATTTGCTGCCCACCAATATGCAAATGAGTGACAAGCACAGGTTCTCTGCATCTGTAATTATTCTGCTGATGTACAAGGCACTTTCTTCCCTGTGTAGGTTTTTCTGTGTGTGTTCATGCATCAGGGGTTTCATTATTTTTAGAAGCGAGCTCTGTGCATTTTTATGCTTTAATAAAAGAGACTTCAGTGATTACTATATTTTGAAACATATATATATTATGCATTTTCGTCCTCAATTCCAAACTCATTTGTTAGATTTTTTTTTTTTTTTTTTTTTTTGCATAAAGAGTGGTGGGTTAGATTTATCAAGGGGCTACAATCCAAATTGCAGAGAGTCAGAGCATAAGACTGAAAGATAAACATTTCTGCAGCTGCCAAATTCTTATCTAGAATCAGTGTCTTGTAGTATTTGATTTTCTCCCGGCAGCTCTGGTGAGCCACAAGCTGCCGAACCCATCTGCCTGTTGGAGCACAATGCTTTCCTGTTTGGAGGTGTGAATGTTTTACATTTTTTTTCTTTTGCTTTTTTTTTTTTCCTTTGGATGGGGGGTTGCTCAGAGCATTAAGAAAGGCTCTCATGTTAAATTAAGTCAATTAATAAATGGAGACACATTAAGCAATCAATTTTGTCAGCCTATCTAACCCAGCATTATGTATGGTTGGCTGTAATCACAAGATAAATGCAATGTGCTGATCTATGGTAATGTTCAATAATACATTCTCCGCCAGGCTCGATTCATCAGGGAGTTTCAGTACGGGAGGTATTTGTTATTGGCTGTCTCTGCACCTCAAGGATAACATTTCTGTCCTTTTGATTGGCTGCCTCGCTGCTGCAAGATTCTAACCGTCTTATTTTGATGATGAATATGAAGGCGCGCTAAGCCGGGTTGGAGCGGAGTGTCTCAGAAGCTGTGCTCCGTTCAGAGCCCAAGGACTTACGGCTTCCTCCGCTGCCTCGCTGTGCCAACAACCCCCCAAAAGTTGTGATGCTTTTCTTTACACAGTGCTTTGGGGCTGTGTTGGATCTCATTCACCTCCGGTTTCAGCACTACAAGGCTAAACGGGTTTTCTCTGCGGCTGGGCAACTTGTCTGTGTGGTGAACCCCACGCACAACCTAAAGGTGAGTCACTTCCTCTCGCGCTCTCCTGCCATCTCCGTGGGGGCTCTAGCCTTTCCCCGGGAGACTTCTATCGGGGAGCTCACGCAAACAGTTTGCTGGTGCTAGGACCCCGGGGCCCTGGAGATGTTTGCCTCATTCTCGCTCTCTGGGAGGCTCGGTGCTGTTATCAGTGACTGGCAAGCAACAGTGGAGCAGGGGAGTAGTGCCTTCTGCTCTCCGAGCAGGGGAGGGAGCCAGGGGGAGGGACGGAAGGAAGGGTGATGGGAAGAGGAGGGTAGAGGTGTCCTTACCTCCCTCCCAAACATTCCCGGGCCAGTGCCCGGGAGAAAAAAAAAAAAAAAGATTCTGAAAAGTTACCCAAATTGCTATCTGTCCCGCCGATGGGCACAAGGATTTGGCCTTGCAGAAGTAGCTGCCGAACTGGAGGGCTTTGAGACAGGACCTGGTTGTCGGCAAGGGGCTGTTAGTGCAGTAGTTTGCCCTTGTCCTCAAACTGTGTCAAAGTGTGTGTGTGTGTGTGTGTGTGTGTGTGTGTGTGTGTGTGTGTGTGTGCTCGAGCGCGCGTGTAAGACTGTCTGTCTGCCTATCTGTCCTTCTGTCTGACTGTGTGCTTCTGGTAGGAGTTTAGCTCCTTTCCCTCCTGCCAGCAGGACGTGAGCCTTCACCACCAAGGACAGCAGCCAGAGGGCTTCACTTCAATTGTGTAATAATGGAACCGGCTAGGAGCTGCGGCTGCTGCCTGGAGCCTGCAGGCGGCTGGCTGCCGAGTTGCCAGTGGCTGCCTCGCTGCTCGCTCGGGGCTGCTTTCTCTGTGTTCATCCCTTCGCGTCAATGTTCTAAGCCAAGTTGCAGGGCTAGAAGGACCTCTATGTATCACAGTCCAGAGGGGGAAATTAATGAAGGGCCACTGCCCCCGGGACGTGGGGAAGATGAGAAGTGGGGACAACGAACTCCTCAAAGGTTAAGTCGTCTGAAAACAAAATAAAATGCAGGGCTCATTAGGGAGTTGCTTGCCCATCTTTACTGTACAGGGGGACTGAGGAACAAGGGGGAGGGGCTATGTCTGCAACAGAGTCTGGGAGTCTGTCTCCGGGAGACCAAAGCTGTGGCTCTGACCACTGTGGCTCGGCAGTATGACGGTAAACTCTCAAGATCGGATGGATGGTCCTCAGCCCTCTTGCTGCAGAGCAGTTCTTATGAATGGCCCCACTTCCGTTCCTGGAAGTCTTTAAACTGACAGCCGGCCGTCTGGAGCCTCTGAGGCCAGGGGCAGCGTGATGGAGGGGATCTGAACTTGTACTGAGATGCTTTCTGTGGTACCCAGACTGTGACAAATCCACAAATCTCCCCGAAGCATTCATGTATGCTCTCCCTCTCTCATGTTCACTCATTCGTCTCTTTTCTCCTGTTCAGTGTTCTTTTCTTTCTTTCTTTATGGCTTGGTTTTATAAATGAGAATTCTCTTCCAGTCATCCTTGGCAGAGCAAGTGTATAGTTTCCATATTAAAAATACTCTTGAATTTCATTTTATGGCCACTTTGGAGACCTTACTCCAATCCCATTATTTTGTCAGCTTGTATTAGTTACTTCCCTGTGGCAAGAAATATTGTTTACTCCTGTTTTGCATTTTAATACCTATTGAAATTATGCGACATAGCAGTTCTAAAGTTTGAATTTACATGGCTCACTGACTGCAGCCAATGATGGGGGAAGGGAGGGTGCTCAGGTCTTGCTGGGAGGGAAGGAGAAATCATTCATACTGCTTGTTGACCCCAACAGCCCTGTTGCTCCAATTCAGGGGCCCAGAGTAGGGCTAGAAGGCTTTAGGTTGCCTTTGAATGACTCACCCTTTCTGAGCCTTCCCTCTCCTCATCCTCAAGACAAACAGGAATGTCTGTCCTGCCTCCTCCACAGCTTTCTGAAGCTAAGAGACAGTTACGTTTGGGGTGTGGGGGGGAGTGCATAAATGTAGCAATTTGTAGCAATTTCCCCTCTAAACACACACACGTACATGCATACATGTAATTTATAGACTCTTCAAAGAGTGTCACTTAAAGCTTTAAGGTAACTTAGGACGGTGTAGGCACAGAACAGAGAAATAGATGCCGTGGCACAGTTTTTCAGAATGTGCTCTTTTGGCCTTTCATTTCCCATTAAAATCTCCTTAGGAATTTTGCGCATCGGAACCTCACTGCAATTAAACACAGTGGATTGTGTGTCACAGTGCTTGGGCCGTGCTCACAGCGCTGGGAGGACAACGGCTGGCAGGAGGACGCAGCCAGCAGCCAAACTCTCCTGTGGGATCCCCATGCTTACCTAGGACCCAGGTGATAGAAGTTCAGCAGACCCACCTCTCAACCTGAGGCCGGCAGATAGCTTCAGACTTTTATGTTTTTTAATGAATTAATTAGTTAACTAATTAATTAGCTACCTAAAAGCACCACTGGCCTGCTGATTAAACTAAAAAGTGCATACCAAAGCAGAAGAGCTCTCTTCCTAAACATTCACGTCCTTAAATAGACCACATGCACACAGACACACACAAAAAAAGGTTGTCTTTGCTATAATAGGCTGTGATCTATGGGGAGGAGGGGATACCTTTTTTTTTTTTTTTTTTGAGGAAAAAAGAAAGCTGTGGCAACGTTAACCCAAAATAGCTATTGATCTGCGGTGCTTCCCCACACTTTGTAAGGCAGGCAGGTTGAGACCTGAAATGGTGACGGAGGCTGCAGAGCATAGCCTCGCTTTCCTGGGCTGCCTGGAGCTGTGACTGTGTGGAAACAGTTCTGAGCTTTCCTGACAGCATCTAAAGACTGCAAGCAAGTGCTGAGCAGAGACGACCATGTATTGTATCTTCTATGCTTCCATAGGTCACCTTCATTAGCAGTCTCACTGACCTGGGAGTCCTTCGAGCTGATGGAAAGCAGAGCCTCCCAGGGACTGCAGACATTCTGGATAGAGCCATTATACCCTCGAGCCCACTCCAAAGGGTTCTTCGGCATGAACGGCTGACCTGGAACAGGTCAGGGATTTAAATGCCTGCCTAAAAATGAGTAAGCAGGACTCCCTGGATTCTCCTGTGTCTGTGTCTGCCTGTACTGGTAACGCTTTGCCTAGATTGGGATTCTAAATGGTGTCCCCCCCCCCCCCCATAAAAGATGCTCCTCCAGGGAGCCCTGCTTTCAGGCTAGCAGTCTCCAGGTGCTGCCCAGCCCCAGGCTGCCTCCAGATCATACTCCCTGCATCTGCTACCCCTTTCCAAACTGGGCAGCTTTTCTCTCTTGGTTCCTTGCCCACTGGCCTACCCGCTAGAAGCATCCCTGTCTGCAGAGGTGTCAGTTCCTTTAGCCAGTTCCTTTAGCCAGGGTTCTCCAAGGAAGGGTCTGCAGGCTCACAAAAGTGTCCCCCCTTCCCCCATCCAAGTCCTCAGCCCTTCCCAAGCCTACAGTGAGCAGAGGCGGCTGGGTAACTTCCTCCTCTTGACCACAGCTTTGATAAATGAGTTTTTCAAAAGAAATGCTAGCAAAACGCTTTCTGGCAAACTTCCGAAAGGCCCTGTCTGATGCATAACCCAGTGCCCTCCTCCGCATTGGGCCAGAGAACATTATAACCTCACCTCCCTGCCTCCATTCAGCTAGGTCCCGGCCATTCTTTCTTATAATTCATTAATCTTGGATTTACAAGCAGAACACCGTGCGCGCGCGCGCACACACACACACACACACACACACACACGCACACGCACACACACGGGGCAGACAGGACAATGGTGATTTTAATTTAAGTGCCCGGCAGAGGCAAAATCTGAAACGGGGGCTGTTCAGGTTCCGCTCACTGTCCATTCACTTGCAGTATCTACTCACTCTCATTCTGAGAACAGCTTGGGTGGATGAATGTGAGTGTGGCCGGGGGGGGGGGGGGGGCGGGGGGGGGGGTGGCGAGGATGGTAGGGAGGAAGAAGTGGGAAAAGAGATGGTAGGAATTGAGGAAGAGGTGGTTAGAGGGAGGAGAAGATGAGGGTAGGAGGAGATGGGGAGGAAGAAGGGGGAGGGCAGAGGGGCGGTCCTCTAAGGAGAGTTCGAAGAGAAAGGAAAGAAGTGAGACTGGCAAAGTCAAATGTGGCTGTGGCTTGCGCCTCTGCTGTGTGGGGTGGTCTTTGAAACTGCTGAACTGCCCTGGGGCTTTGCTAATTCTGCCTGACACAGCACAGCAGGGGGTGGACAGGGAGCGGAGGACCTCAGTGTTTTCCTAGACGGAGGAGCAGCCTTTAGAGTGCTCATTGTGAATGCCCACTTTAAAGCAGTTCAGAGCAGTAAGATTGTTGAAGAGCTGGTATGTGGGTTACCTAGTTCTTACCCACATAGTCACATCAGAGGGTCCCCGTTCTCAGTCCTTTTGACATTTCCCCAGGCTCTCTTCCAGCCCAGTTTAGAGCCATTTCACTGCTTATTACCACCCGGGAAGTTGTGGGGGGAGGGGCGGGCAGGCTAAAGTCCACCCTCTATCACATTTACACCAAAGGCTCTTTAGCCTCTATCAGCCCCTTGATTTCTGCGAATATTCTACGACACTATGGGCACGAAACAGCCGTGCAGCTTTGCTGGTTAATGGTGATTGCAAATGAGGCTCCTGAGCCACATAACAGGAGGCCCCAGGCCCTGGAGCAGTAATTTGGTTAGCTGTATATTAGTGACTAAGTTGCAGAGCAGGCTGGGAGCTGGACAGAAGTGAGCAGATTACCTCCGTTACCCAGCATCCTCCAGCCTACTTTGTGAAATTCCCCTAACTAGGCTCTCTCTACCTACAAGGACTGTCTAGGGAAATGAGACAACTGAGAGCTCAGACTTCCTCTGAAACCCACAGAGAGGTCAGAGATATTCGAATGGCTTCCCCAAGTTAAGACAGACGACTTTCCTAGCAGTTAACAACAGAGGTGGAAGCCAACTGTCTTAACTGTACTTAGAGTGTCATCTTGCCCCAAGCAGTGCGGTGACCTGTTC